CTTGCATAACAACAGCAACAAGTGAGCTCAAGGGTTGTGCAAAGCATTTACAAATGCAGCCTGGTCACACTGATGGTGCTTTATTTCTCTGTGGAAGTGAAGGCCCTTCTCTCAATTAGTATTACTTTTCCCCTGGCAGTTAAGAAAGCAGAGCAGTGCTATCTGGCAGGATTCATTTGAAAGAATTTAAAATTTTAAATGTAAACCTTCATAGAATCGAAGAACTTTTCTTTATGCACCCTCTCCACGCCACTCATGCTTTTCATAGAATCATAGAATAATAGGACTGGAAGGGACCTCAAGAGGTCATCGAGTCCAGCCCCCCGCCCTCAAGGCAGGATCAAGCTCTGTCTACACCATCCCTGACAGATGTCTATCTAACCTGTTCTTAAATATCTCCAGAGAGGGAGATTCCACCACCTCCCTTGGCAATTTATTCCAATATTTGACCACCCTGACAGTTAGGAATTTTTTCCTAATGTCCAATCTAAACCTCCCCTGCTGCACTTTAAGCCCATTACTCCTTGTCCTGTCCTCAGAAACCAAGAGGAACAAATTTTCTCCTTCCTCCTTGTGACACCCTTTTAGATATTTGAAAACCGCTATCATGTCCCCCCTTAATCTTCTTTTTTCCAAACTAAACAAGCCCAGTTCATGAAGCCTGGCTTCATAGGTCATGTTCTCTAAACCTTTAATCATTCTTGTTGCTCTTCTCTGTACCCTTTCCAATTTCTCCACATCTTTCTTGAAATGTGGCGCCCAGAACTGGACACAGTACTCCAGCTGAGGCCTAACTAGTGCAGAGTAGAGCGGCAGAATGACTTCACGAGTTTTGCTTACAACACACCTGTTGATACAACCTAGAATCATATTTGCTTTTTTTGCAACAGCATCACACTGTTGACTCATATTCAACTTGTGGTCCACTATGACCCCTAGATCCCTTTCTGCCATGCTCCTTCCTAGACAGTCGCTTCCCATCTTGTATGTATGGAACTGATTGTTCCTTCCTAAGTGGAGCACTTTGCATTTCTCTTTATTAAACCTCATCCTGTTTACCTCTGACCATTTCTCTAACTTGCTAAGGTCATTTTGAATTATGTCCCTATCCTCCAAAGAAGTTGCAACCCCACCCAGTTTGGTATCATCTGCAAACTTAATAAGCGTACTCTCTATCCCAATATCTACATCATTGATGAAGATGTTGAACAGTATGGGTCCCAAAACAGACCCTTGAGGAACTCCACTTGTTATCCCTTTCCAGCAGGATTTAGAACCGTTAACAACAACTCTCTGACTACGGTTATCCAGCCAATTATGCACCCACCTTATCGTGGCCCTATCTAAGTTATATTTGCCTAGTTTATCAATAAGAATATCATGCGAGACCGTATCAAATGCCTTACTAAAGTCTAGGTATATGACATCCACCGCTTCTCCCTTATCCACAAGGCTCGTTATCTTATCAAAGAAAGCTATCAGATTAGTTTGGCATGACTTGTTCTTCACAAACCCATGCTGGCTATTCCCTATCACTTTATTACCTTCCAAGTGTTTGCATATGATTTCCTTAATTACCTGCTCCATTATCTTCCCTGGGACAGACGTTAAACTGACCGGTCTGTAGTTTCCTGGGTTGTTCTTATTCCCCTTTTTATAGATGGGCACAATATTTGCCCTTTTCCAGTCTTCTGGAATCTCCCCTGTCTGCCATGATTTTTCAAAGATCATAGCTAAAGGCTCAGATACCTCCTCTATCAGCTCCTTGAGTATCCTGGGATGCATTTCATCAGGACCTGGTGACTTGCTGACATCTAACTTTCCTAAGTGATTTTTAACTTGTTCTTTGTGTATCCTATCTTCTAAACTTACCCTCTCTCTGCTTGTATTCACTACGTTAGGCACACCTCCAGACTTCTCGGTGAAGACCGAAACAAAGAAGTCATTGAGCATCTCCGCCATTTCCAAGTTCCCTGTTACTGCTTCTCCCTCCTCGCTAAGCAGTGGGCCTACCCTGTCCTTGGTCTTCCTCTTGCTTTTAATGTATTTATAAAAGGTCTTCTTGTTTCCCTTTATGCCTGTAGCTAGTTTGATCTCATTTTGTGCCTTTGCCTTTCTAATCTTGCCCCTGCATTCCCGTGTTGCTTGCCTATATTCATCCTTTGTTAGTTGTCCTAGTTTCCATTTTTTATATGACTCCTTTTTTATTTTGAGATCGTGCAAGATCTCCTTGTTAAGCCAAGCTGGTCTTTTGCCATATTTTCTATCTTTCCTACACAGCGGAATTGTTTGCTTTTGGGCCCTTAACAACGTCCCTTTGAAATACTTCCAACTCTCCTCAGTTGTTTTTCCCTTCAGTCTTGCTTCCCATGGGACCTTACCTACAAGTTCTCTGAGCTTATCAAAATCTGCCTTCCTGAAATCCATTACCTCAATTGTGCTGGTCTCCCTTCTACCTTTCCTTAAGATCATGAACTCTATTATTTCGTGATCACTGTCCCCTATACTGTCTTCCACTTTCAAGTTCTCAACTAGTTCCTCCCTATTTGTTAAAACCAAATCCAGAACAGCTTCTCCTCTGGTAGCTTTTTCAACCTTCTGAAACAGAAAGTTGTCTCCAATGCAGTCCAGAAACTTATTGGATAGCCTGTGCCTCGCTGTGTTAGTTTCCCAACATATGTCTGGATAGTTGAAGTCCCCCATCACCACCAAATCTTGGGCTTTGGATAGTTTTGTTAATTGTTTAAAAAAGGCCTCATCCACCTCTTCCACCTGGCTAGGTGGCCTGTAGTAGACTCCTAGCATGATATCACCCTCGTTTTTTACCCCTTTTAGCTTAACCCAGAGACTCTCTACACAGCTATCTCCTACGTTCATCTCCACTTCAGTCCAAGTGTGTACATTTTTAATATACAAGGCAACCCCTCCTCCCTTTTTTCCCTGTCTGTCCTTCCTGAGCAAGCCGTACCCTTCCATACCAACATTCCAATCATGTGTCCCATCCCACCAGGTTTCTGTAATACCAATGATATCATAGTTGTATTTATTGGTTAGCAATTCCAGTTCTTCCTGCTTATTACCCATACTTCTCGCATTTGTATATAGGCATCTAAGATACTGATTTGATCTTGCCTCCCTGTTGTGCCCTGACCCTCCTTTCTCCTTGCCATTATAGGCCGTAGTCCCCCCCATTTCCAACCCATCTCCCAGTCCCGCACATTCAGCACTTACCTGTGGGCTTTGCTCACCTGTCCCCGTCGAACCTAGTTTAAAGCCCTCCTCACAAGGTTAGCCAGTCTGTGTCCAAACAAGGCCTTCCCACTCCTGGAAAGGTGAACTCCATCTCTGCCAAGCAGTCCTTCCTGGAAGAGCACCCCTTCAACACTGCCTGATTTCTCCTTGCTTTCCCTCCCCTCCCTTAATGCTTTTTCTCATAGTCCTGAAGCACAAATCATGAACCTTGTTAAGTCAAGTTGTTTTTAACTTGAAATTTTGATCCTCGGTAATTGGCATAAAATAATTTTTGGAGACTTTTCTAGCTGTTGCAGAACAATGCACTTGACAGAAAACAAAATCAAGAAAAGTTTGTGTCTTCACACTACTTAGCTAAAACTAACTTATGGCAAAAAGGAGTCTGATCTATCAAATAGAGGCAACAAAGGAGGGAAGGAGGGTACTATAAAGCATCAGAGCTAGTTCTGTGCAGCGCTGCCCCTTTGAAATGCCTCAGATTGGCAGTGCCACATGGAGCCTGGAATCAGCTGTGCAACAATGCTTGTTTGAAAAGCCAGGCAGCATTTCAAAGGGGTAGTGCCATCCTACCAACTAATTGGATAGTCGATGCAAAAATGCATCAGCTATTCAATTTGTGAATTAAACAATACTTATCATTAATCATAGAACCATAGAGCTGGAAGAGACCTCAGAAGGTCATCAAGTCCAGCCCCCTGCTCTAGGCAGGACCAATCCCAACTAAGACTTTACTACAAAGATGTCTTTTGTCAAGCTTTTTGTGCATGAGTCTGCACTTAGATTTGTCTCTGGCAGACATAAGCACCTCATTATTGCAATACAGTAAAATCACCTACTTGATCATGAGTGTGCACATAGCTACTGCATGATATATATTGACCCTAACAATCTTCCAGCAGCTATCCCATTTGTTACAACAGTCTCAGGTGTCAAGGAGACTGAAAGTTATCCTTTGAAGTCTTATGTATTTTTGAAATACCTTTGTCTGATTGTTTACCTGAGTGAATATGCCTAGGAACTCTTCCTTCCCTTGTTATGTGTTGTCAGGTCTGTTCCACATTCTGGCACTCTGAGTGCAGAAGTTGGGGCCCTCAAAGACTTGCCTTAGGCTCTGCTTACAACCTCCCTTCCCCCGGGTCACAGATACACTGGCTCTGAGAAATAAACAAAAGCTGCCACTATCAAGAGATTTAACCCTGAAAAAACAGGAGGAAACACTTGAATTCCTTCCCATGGGATACCCCAAACTCTCTTGCTCCAAAAGAGCTTGAAAAATTAAGAGAGAAAAACAAGCTGCAGTCTCTGGTAGCTGGCTGCTCAATCTAGGCAGGCAGACACACACAGACAGACCTCTTGTCTGTTACTTTCCAGGACACAAGAATCACCTTAAAAAGTGATTTTTATTAGCAAAACGAGATATACGTGATAAAGCATACTTGATTGCTAGGTGTTGCAGAGTAAACAAAGTAAGTACAAAAGTAAAACAGAAAATATCTGGGAACAACTCTTAGATAGTGGATGGGGGAGGCATAGATTCACACAGAGCAGTTCAAATCAAACCACAAAAATAAAGAAAAATACTCTGATCATGAATACATACACTTTTCCTTTATTTACGCATGAGCCCTTCCGGGTTCAGTCCACTTCCTTGCCCCAGATCCTTTGCAGGCATGGCAATCCTGTCTGGGTTTAAATCGTTTTGTGTCTTGAACCCCTGGTTTAACTCTCCCACACAAAACAGACAAGTATCTTACACAATTCGGCTATGTCTATATTGACATGATCTTGTGCAAATACTTTTAATGCAAGAGTTCTTGCATTAAAGTATTTGCGTAAGAGAGCGTCTACACTGGCATGTGCTTTTGTGCAAAAGCATCAGTGCCAGTGTAGATGCTCTCTTGCTCAAAAAAGCTCCGATGGCCATTTTAGCCATCGGGCTTTCTTGTGCAAGAAATTCATGTTGCCTGTCTACACTGGCCTCTTGAGCAAGAACAGTTGCGCAAGAGGGCTTATTCCTGAGCGGGAGCATCATAGTTCTTGCACAAGAAGCACTGATTTCACACATTAGAATGTCGGTGTTCTTGCACAAGAACTCCCCGCCAGTGTAGACAGGCAGCAAGTTTTTGCACAAAATCTTGCCAATGTAGATGTAGCCTTCATGTTTCAGCACTCTATCCCCATTGGTTCTTCTGGCTCCCTGCCAACACCCTTGCTAGCAACCCTTGAGTTTAACCCCTTAGTTCCTGGGTGCTGGCCAGTACTCCTGTCCACTTGTAATTAGTCAGCTGGCCAGATTGGCTCCACGCACCAGACATGCTCTTGTCTGGAGTATAGAAAAGATATTGGATCTCCTGGACCTATAGAGTGAAGAGGCTATGCAAGCACAGCCATGGACCTGCAGCAGAAATGTGGACATCCATGAGCAGATTGCGAAGGGGATCAGTAATAGTGCTGCAGGAAAATGAAGAAACTGCAGATGGCATGATATAAAACAAGAGAAGGCAATTATCAATCTATTGGGGAGCTGCCTACCTGCTCTTGCCATATTTGACTTGTGTGCCATATTTGACAAAAATCGTACCAGCACTCTGCAAATGTCTGAGGATATCTTGGAGGTGCCTGAGATGTAGACCACAGCTGTGAACATGGAAGAGAAAGATAAAGGAGATGTGTGTGTTAACAAGATATTGGTAAATATCTTTTACCAATAAACTTTTAGTTGTTTTACTCATACATGAAGATATGGAAGTACAATAAATAGAGAGGTGGTATCTGCTTTTCATTCCACTGCTGGATCAGATATGGAGAGGGCAATGCATAACATTTTGTTTATGTATGGAAGGATGTTCCTTGTATTCTACTGGGGGATCTCAATTAAACTTTCTTGGAGATACTCTGCAATTCTCTCCTGAAGGTTTCTGGGATATCTACCTTATTTCTTCTTCTGCAGAAGAGACTTTCTGACACATTGCTGTGATGAGTTCAATTGGCAGCATTCCACTAAGCAGGCTAGTACCATATTGACCTAGGTGACTTCAGGATGCTAGTAGCAATAGTAGTACCTCAGGAGTTAGATTTGTGTTAAAACCACCAGTGCCACTATTCAGTGCCATTGCTCTATATGTGTACAATGGAATAGAGGCTGAAATGTGATTGTTTCATGCAACAAAAATTCCTCCCCAGATCCCAGCAGGCCCATACTCACTGTGGCTGGGGCTGAAGAGTGGTCCAGCGCAGAGACACTTCAAAGCTGCAGTGTCAATAAGCAAATCTTATTGAAAGTTTTTATGGGAATAATGGATGGGAATTTGAAACTTCTTATTCCCTTTCTGTTGTGACTATAAATCCGATGATACATCTGTCTCTTCATAAGCAGCTGCCATTATGACTTTGAGGGATGTCCTCTGCACACCTGTGGAACATCTGATCTTGAGGAGGATTACTCAGTAAGATATTGTAAACCATTGCTGCTTTGGATCACGAACAAAAATCCTGGATAACCAGCATGACACATGGGCTACGTCTACACTGCGCATTGTTGCACAAGAAGATATGCAAATGAAGCACAGCGATGAATATCACCATGCCTCATTTGCATATCTAATGAGCCACCATTGTTCCGGAAGGGGCTTTTGCGCAAGAAGGAGAAAAGCCCCTCTTGCGCAGGAGCCATTCTTCCTGAAAATAAGCGGCAGAACGGCTCCTGCGCAAGAGGGTATTTTTGCGCAAGAAGGAGCAGTGTAGACAGCTCCTCCTTGCGCAAAAGCCACTTCTGCAAAAATGGCGGCTCGTTAGGTATGCAAATGAGGTGCGGTGATGTATTGTATATCTTCTTGTGCAACAATGCGCAGTGTAGATGTAGCCATGGTGTAATGTAGAGAATAAAAAAGCAGACAGGGAAGGCTAGGATTCCCAACCGGAAGAGGAAATGGAGATACACTAGAACATAATGGATCATTTCAGGCAGCAAACTTAAAAGTAGCAGATTAGGGATGTGAACGACTGGTTGACTATCTGATAAGCAAATGCACATGCAAATGCTTATCGGATAGTCGACAGGCTAGTCAAATAGTCACTCCGCTCCTTGCCCCCCAACAGAGACTCCAGGCTCCATGCGATGCTGCCACTTTGAAACATTGCATGCAGCCCAGGGCCAGCTGGGGAGTCCCCAACCTGAATGCGTCATTTCATAGCGGCAGCACTGCGTGGAGCCCAGAGTCAGCAGGGGAGTCCCCAGCTAATCCTGGGCTCCACATGGTGCTGCTGCTATGAAATGCTGCAAGGAACCTGACGCGAGGCTCCTTGCAGCATTTCAAAGCAGCAGCACCACATGGAACCCAGGGTCAGTGGGGGAATCCTCAGCTGACTCCAGGCTCCATGTAGTGCTGGCGCTTTGAAATGCTGCATTCAGCCTGACACTGGGCTCCCTCCGGCATTTCAAAGTGGCAGCGTAGCATGGAGCCCAAGGTCAGCGGGGGACTCCCCAGGTGACCCTAAGCTATACATGGCGCTGCTGCTTTGAAACGCTGTGCTCCCCACAGTGCTTTTGCCTGTGAAGTGTAGCAACATTCCCAGGGCTGCTGCTACACTTCAAAGGCGGAGGCGCCCTATTGACTAATCGAATAGTCGATGAAAATTTTGCAGTCCTAACGCTCCACAATATATTGTGTGGCATCATGGGCCATATCCTACCCCTTACGATTCCATGCTGCGGACTGCAAGTAAAACCACAACTTAACATGTCAACATAGGTCCAGTATATGTGTTGTACTAGGGATGGAATTTCTGTCCATTTCAGTGCACAAATGTTTGCTGTCTTTCCGATTCTAAAAGTTCAGTTCCAAATTTATATTGCAGTGCTTGCTGGTTTTTTGCACATTGCTTTTCTGCACTCTTTTTGCTACTCAGTTTTCTTATTTTTAAATGATTTCTGATTAGTTCGCAATACATTTCAGAATGCATATCAGTATTCAAAGCACACAGTACTTGTAAATGTACAGCACCACAGAATTCAAGAGATTCTGGAAAATACCCCATGGTGGTATTTAAAAATGTACAAGAAGCACCCGATAATTCATAGCTTCAGTAAAACATAATGTGTGTAAATATGCAGAAAGCACTACACATTTCCCAACAGCACCCAAAGCTTCAGGTCCACAGAACATTCCAGTACAGAGTGCTACTATTGCTGACTATTAAAGTGCTTTTTAAAGCCTCACTCAACTAAGGATGTTAAGGAGTGGGTATTTGGCTAGTTTGTATTGACTGCACAATTAGTCAACGAGGGAAGGCGTTCTGCAGAGCCACAGCAGGGGTTGCTCCTGGAGCCAGCATGAGCTGAGACTGAGCAGTCCCGGCTCCTGCCTGCCCTGGGACTTCTGTGTCTTTTCCTTTTAAATGTAGTAAGAGCCAGGTGCCTCTTACCACATTGAAAAGGCAGAGCTGTAGCATAGTAGGTACAGGACCCAGCGCAAGTTGGGACTGAGTGGGACTGAGCCTAGTGAGTCTTACTACATTTAAAAATGCAGAGCCGCAGTGACCTTGGACTGGCACGAGCCAGGACTTGCTTTGTCCTAGCTCATACCAGGTCCAGCAGCCCCTGTTGTAGAGTATAGTGTCCAATTCTGTGTGCCACAACTTCAGAAAAGATGTGGACAAACTGGGGTAGTTCCAGAGAAGAGCAACAAAAATGATTAAAGGTCTAGAAAACATGACCTATGAGGCAAGATGAAAGAGTAGGAAAAACTTAAAAAACAACAAATAGTCTGGTAGAACTTTAAAGACTAACAAAATATGTAAGGTATCATGAGCTTTTGTGGGCATAACCCACTTCTTCAGATAACCGGAGCGTTGGATGTCCAGAACCAAAATAAATGAGGGAAGAAGGGGGCAGGTGGACAACAGAAAGTGGCAGAGGGTAGATAAGTATCAAAGAAAAAGCTGAGAATGTATATAACTGGAAAAACTGGAAAACAACATATAGTCTATTAGCACCTAAAAACTAGATAGTTATCTGCTACCCAAGATACACAAACCTGGAAATCCCAGATGACCCATCATCTCAAGCATTGGCACACTCACAACAGGATTATCTGGCTATATACACTCCCTCCTCAGACCCTATGCTACCAGCACTCTGAGCTACTTCTGTGATACTACTGACTTCCTGAGGAAACTTAAAAACATCAGTAAACTTCCTGAAAATACCATCCTGACCACTATGGATGTAGAAGCCCTTTACACCAACATTCCACATGAAGATGGATTACAGGCCATCAGGAACTCCATCCCTGATGACAGCACTGCACATTCCTTCTTCCCCCGCCTTTTCACTCATTTATTTTGGGTCTGGACATCTAACACTCTGGTCATCTGAAGAAGTGGCCTGTGCCTACGAACGCTCATGATACCATCTACATATTTTGTTAGTCTTTAAAGTGCTACCAGACTATTTGTTGTTTTTTAAGATTTTCCTGTTACAGACTAATTCGACTACTACTCTGAAGCTTTTGAAAGAATTGGGTTTGTTTAATTTGGAAAAGAGAAAAGTCAGAGGGAACATGATAGCAGTTTTCAAATAGCCAACTTGGGTTTGTTTAATTTGGAAAAGAGAAAAGTCAGAGGGAACATGATAGCAGTTTTCAAATAGCCAACAGGGTGTTACAAGTAGGAGGGAGAAAAATTGTTCTTGACCTCTGATGATAGTTCAAGAAGCAATGGGCTTAAATTGCAGCAAGGGAGGTTTAGATTGGATATTAAGAAAAACTTCCTAACTGTTAGGGTGGTTAAGCACCGCAATAAATGGTCTAGAAAGGTTGTGAAATCTCTGTAATTGGAGATTTTAAAGAGCAGATTAGACAAGCATCTGTCAGGATGGTCTAGATTGGGCAGGCAAGACTCAGCCCGTGGGTCCAATACAGACTAGGTTTATCAGGTAGTTGAGTTCACTACTTGCATTCCCTTTACCTCCACTGCCTCTCTATCAGCGGCAGAGGGCTCTGCATTTAAAATGTAGTAGGAGCCGGGTGGGCGGGCAACCCGGCTTAGTCCTGGCATGTGCAAGTCCGGGACCAAACCCTGCTTCTGCTCTATAATTTAAAATGCAGTAGGGGCCAGAGGGCGGGCTACCTGCTTCTTACTACCGTTTAAATTGCAGAGCCACAGTGGGATTTGGTCCCACACCCAACGTGAGCTAGGACTGAGCTGGGCTGTCTATTGACTAATCGAGTAGTCAATAAAAACTCTGTTGACTACTTGATTAGTTAAATACCTCCTCTTAACATCCCTATCCTCATTCATATTATTTTCTCCTAATAAGCAGTTTTCCTTATGTTCTTCTTTGAGGATGTCCCCACGGGTGCTCCACTGTGGGTGCTGGGCTTGCCCCGGCACCGCAGAACAGAGATTATTCTGGAAGCAGTAGTCGGCCGGATCGTGCATGAACCGCAGTGACTCGCGGCGTTCGCGCTGTATTCTCTGACATGCGGTCCAGCCTCCCACCAGTTCCTCTTGACCGCCTCAGGCTGCAGATGGATGGAACTGCGCTCTTCACATAGCAACCTTGTTGTGAGACTATCTGCTCTGCAGTTATACTTGTATATATACCCTTACCTTCTTCCTTACCGCGTTCATTCCCCTTCATTAATCTAAAAAAAAAAAAGTTGTTTAGTTATAATCCTTATAGTAGGCTTTCTTTGTACCCCATCCTTCTTCTATAGTCCAGTGTATATAGTTTAACTATTTCTAGACGTTAAAAAAATACTACTAATAATAGTAATAATAGCAATAAGAGGAAAAGTGCGAGCAGAAAGAACTTCACAAGCAGAGCAAACTAAAACCGCCCACAAAAGGCACTCAGTATGCCGTCATCACCAGGCTTTAAAAAATGCAACAGCCGGCCTCGGACAGCCACTCCTCCTGCATAAGGTGCTTAGGGGAGTCCCATGTCCCCCAAAAGTGCCCCCATTGCACCAAACTCATGGTAAGGGCAAGGAGGGACAGAGAAACGCATCTGCACATGCTCCTTTTTGACAAGGCTTTGCAACCGCAGCACCCTCCCTCTGCTGCTGATGAACAGCCCCCAAAGCATAGGGCTTCATCACCCCATAGCAGCCTCACCTAAGAAATCGAGACTCTCTCCTACGAGGTCTCTACCTGCCGCCTCTCACAGCAGCGTCAGCCATGGGGACAAGCCCAGCACATCTGGCACAGCGAAACCGCACCCTTAGCTGTCAGCGGTGCTGAAATCAAAAAGAACTGGAGAGCTGGCACCGTCCACGGCACCGAGGGTTGCATTGGTTCTGCCTGCAACCAAGCCGCCGGCACCGATGATTGAGACGGCGCCAAGAGCTTTGTTGGCACCGGTAACGGCACCGATAGCTGTTGTGGCACCATACCACATGGCACTGGGGCAAACACCGTCTAAGAATACAGCACCGATAATGAAGGTTCCGGAGCCAACAGCACCTGGAAAGACGACACCGGGGAGCACGGCACGG